ATATATATTATTACGAGATGATTTTTTCGATGAATTCGTAAATAAAGTAAGGTCATAATCCCCCCCGTATGATTTTTCTTCTTTATAATTTTGTTTATATTTTTAAATAAAAACAAAAAAGAACTATAATTCTCGATTATCATTCTACGATAACGCGTTGCAGCAATTCGCAAATAAACGAGAATTACCTTTATAAGTTATAAGACCTTATAAATAACGTAATAAAATATAATAATAATAAGAAGAAAAAATTATCGAAACAATTTGTGTAAAAAAAAAAAAAAAGAAATAGTCAAGTAAAGATTTATTTATTTTTCTCTTTTTGTCTTTGGTTTTTTTTTTTTAATAAAATTTAATTAATGATCGTTGCAGGTGACAACGACGGACGGGGAACAACCGGACGACAGTTTCGATTTGATAGACGTACCACCGGAAATGTCGCCGCCACCTGTCGCGCCAACGTCGAAGGACACGCCAAGCAATTCATCTTGCACGCAACAAATCGTTCTTCCATCGGAAAAGCTCGATTCCAATCACGTAGAACATAATTCGAAAAGCACGGCCAACGTGCAATCCACTGCAAGCACTGCCCAACACCATGGTGGTGGTACCATGTCGCCGACTACTGATACCGTCGACGACATGGGCGCACCCCCACCCACCCCTATGATTGGAGCTCATCAAGAGTCTAGGTTCACATTCATTAGCGGTAGAACACCACCCCTTCCTGATTTAAGAGCTGCCGAATTTTTCAGGTAACCTTTGTGTGTTCTTTTTATTCCATGTTTTTTATGTTTCCATTTACAATATTATTATTATTATTTTTATTTTGTCCTTTGTAAATACGTAATCCTTTAATCAAGGTGTACATCATTTTCTCTTCGCGATTAATGAACAATAAATATAAAATATATATAAAAAAAATGTATTACTAAATACAATTTCATTCGGTCGTATTAAAGTAATATCCACAATCGAATAAATATTTCATTGAATTTAATGCTTATTTGAATATCAAATAATCTATATAAATGTAGATATAATTTGTTCGATTGCTAAATTTTAATAAAATAATGATATATATTAAATTATATTTTTTTTTTCTTTTCGTTAATAGACACACGCGTTTAAATGAAAATAAATCATTTCTCAATGAACTCAAATATATAACATCGTTATTTCCTAAAATTACTAGTTTTAGTGTATAATTTAATTCTTATAAAATGTGTTCCCTAAAAAGGATTAATTATTTCGAGTATAACCTAGAATTTCCAAGATTTAACTGAATTGTACGATCTAACACTGACGTATATACATATATATATACGTGCTAAAAAGTCTAGGCAGATAACATGTGTGCAATATATATTATATAATTTTACCAGATATATAAATTGAGAATAAAACGGAGGCCCAATTAGTCGGATTTTCGTGGCTCGTTACGCGAGGTTGCTTCGGTAGAAATAATATCAGCAATTTAACTGCGAGAGAACTAGTTTTACTGGTATAAAATTCTTCGATAAAACCCCGCAGACAGAACGAGATGTAGATAAAAAGAGACCAGAATAGAATGAGATTAACAGGAGGAATAAGAAAAGGATATATATTTTACTTGAACTTTTGATCCCTTTATCGGATCGTAATGGAATTTATTGGCTAGGAAATTTGAGTGAGGAAACGAGAGAATACTGACGTCAAAAAAGTATTCTTACGTTATTTAATATTTTAAATAAATTGCTATATATTATCTGAATAAAAGGTTATACATTTTTTTTAATAGATATCGAAACAATTGTATGTTATATACATGGTAACTTGGTAATTAAAACATTTATATACTATATACATTATATTTTACAGATAAAATATATTTATAAAATCAACGTGTTTTACCTAATTTAATCGAATTCTTCTTTTTATAAATATATATGTATTGGGTCTCGTTTTAGAAAAATTCGTATTTGAAAATTGTTGTATACTCCTGCTTGGTTTAACCACCCATTCCGATACTATATATACCATATTCGTAAAAATTTATATATTTTGCTCATTTTTTATCGCAACTAGTAAAAAAAACATAATTTGTTTTAATTACCAATACCTAAATTTAATCTAACATTAGATACTAAAATTTTTCCCTATTCATTCAAAAGTATATAAAGCTTTCATATCGGATAATAAATTCATTGGATTGTATATAAAATAACATGCAAATAGTTTATTTATTATTTTTGAAGTATACAAAATTATTGAAATTTATATTTAGTACTCCTGTGAGAGGCTCGGTGGATGCCGGACATCCTGATCCAAATCAAATAAGCTCGATGCTGGCATTGATGGCAACAAAAGAAAAACAAATTGACAAGGGTGCATTGGTCAATGTTAATTCTAATCACACGTCATTGACGAAGGTAACCCAATCCTGCGAAAAAAACTGCGTCGATACGAAATACAATGCTGAACAGAAGAAACCAAATATTAATGTTACGACGAATCCATTGGATATTTCATTGGTTGGTGGTCAACCATCTTGTAACGTACAGACTCCGACCGGTACTACAAACAGAGGTCGAGGAAGGCCAACGGCAGGTAAGAACAACAATTTTCTTTTTCTATTTAAAACAAGATTTATCTAGATTTCTTTATTAATTAATTGAAAATTTTATTCCAAGAATATATGGGATTTAACAGAGATATTTTTTTACAATAATTAATTTTATATAGTAAAATTTTTCATATTTCTTCCTTTTTTTTTTCTTTTATGTAAAATTAAACATGTTATATATATACAATATTATAATATGTAATATCATTTACTTACATTGATATGGATATAAAAAAAAAAGAAAAAATAATGTTGCAAAAGTTCAAGAATGAATGATGAAAATTACAGTGACAATTTGAAGGATCAAAATAATGTGCTTATGATTCTATCTATTTATTAAAAGTAGTTCTCGTTATTTCGTTTTTTCTTTTTCATTTATCTTCTCTTTTTTGTTTTAA